GGAAAGGTTGAAAAGAACAGGAAATATCTTTGAGATTATTTCTTGAGTTTGGGGGGTAGATTATGAAAAGGGAAGGTGTTAGCACCCTTTTCATCCATAGTTTTTTATGGGCTCTTAGTTGCTTGCTAGATCACTTGCTTTGTTTGAAAATATGCTTTGTGGTGTTTTTTGAAAGTATTTTTGAAAAAGCGCATTCGTTTAGGCAAACTTTGTAATGGTTCTCGTTCGTAAGAACGTATACAAAGTGTTGGACTTTTTGAAAATATTTCATGTTTGGAAAGTGTTTGTTTTGAAAGTAAGCAAGGATATTTGTTTTTGAAAGTGAGCAAGCAACTAAGAACGTTTCTACCTACTCAAAAGTATTTGTTCATTTCTTCCTTCCTTTGGTATTGCTATCTCACCGTTGATTGGTAAGAAGCCTCATCTTTGGATGTAAAGGGACGAGCGTGGGTCATCGTATAGTCATGATAGCAATATTGTGAGATATCTTAGCATTTCTCTTTGAGGGACTAAGATCATTTGAAAGGCAACATTTGTAGCGTCATCGAGGGACTATGATCTTGTGTTTTTTATTATTTTTGCTAAGACATCCCACATGCATAACATGACCATTTTTGTAAGGAAACAAGTGGAATTACCCTAAGGGTGCGTGTGTGAATAGTGTGTTTGATTTGCATGTATTGTCTTGGATTAGGATTATCTACTTGTTGATTTTATCTTTCCATACAAACCCTAATTACTAGCATTTATATGAAAGCGATAAATTGCGGAAAGTAAATTTACTACGCTATTACATCATTAGGGGGATGGGGTATACAAATTTACAAATGGAGATTGCAAGAAATTAAACCTAGTTATCTATTATAACCATATTGAATGATGTACAAGAATTGAAAAGAATATAATATGCTATGATGTAAATGGAAAGGAAATGATCTTTGTTTGGAATTTGTTAAGGGTTTGGTTTTAACCTAATTATCTAAAAGAAAATGATTAATTAAATTAAGAAAATTAAGCCTAAACTAATTAAGAAAAGAAATTAAATTAGAAAGTATTTTTTAGGGTTATTCTTAAGAAAAGGTTTTTAGTTTAATAAAAATAACATGGAAATTAATTAATTAAAAGAAAACCTAAATTCTAAGTTGATTTTAATTAGAAAAGAAAATAACTAAACATAAATCTAATTATTAATTTATTAAGAAAAAGAATTAAATTTGTTTAAGAAAAATATTTTTGTCTTTTGGTTTTATAAAGAAAATAAAAATATAAGCATGTAAATGATAAAGAAAAATATATTTTTGGATTTTTTATTAATAAAAATAATAATAATAATAATAATAATAATAATAATAATAATAATAATAATAATAATAATAATAATAATAATAATAATAATAATAATAATAAAAATAAATAAAAAATAAAATAAAATATAAAAATAAAAATCAGGGGGGTTTGAAATGGGATGTGGGAGTTTGTTAGGAAAAAAAAACAGATTTGTTAAAACTTGGCTCAAATGGTATTTTTTTGTAATCAGAAAAAATAAAAATAAAAGGTTGGGCCTGTGTTGTAGCAAGCAGGCAGGGGGTGAGTTTCAGCAAAAATGACAAGGGCCCAGTGGCCTTAGGCCCAAACGCTGACTTGTGACAAAAAGAGAGAAAATGTTTGAGAAATAACAAAAAAGTGGCAGCGCTGGGGCTTGAACCCACGCCCTGAACATGAAACGTGCGCTGCCTTACCACTGGGGTGGCTATACATCCGTTAACTTAAATAAAACCAATAATATATAACACAAATCCAGTCCTAGAAATGACTTCATCTTCAACTTCCAGCCATGGTTCCTGTAACTCACTCATTTCTCATCCATTCACAACACTTCCAACATCAAACTTGTTAGAAATTTCACCACGATTCTGAACATGTAAATAACTTAAACTAATTCTCAAAGATGAACATGAATTTCTAAAAGTACCAAATTCTGACCTAATTTTTTCCAGAGATTCAAACCTAAAATTCTCTAAGCTCAAGCAATATAAATGAAAACTATGGACATGTACAGCTTCAGGGCAATGATATCTATATTTTATCTTCACAAATCAGAATCAAATGATGCTTATATGAAGAGATAGAAGTTCAGAAAAAATACCTCAAAACTGGATATCGTGAAATGAGTTTGAACTGCTTTCAAGGAGTTGTGATGATTAGGTTAGCTTCCTCAAGTTTCCAGGAAGCTAATGCAATGCTTACTTGATGCTGGGAGTGCTTGAATCGTGCTAGAGAAGCCAAGGTGCAAGCTCTGTTTTTTGGTTATAGAAGTTGATGAAGATGGTGTTACAGTCGTGTAACAGGGTGTGGGATTGATTGTAGATGATGTTTAGGAACTTTTGGAAGTGAAAAGCCAAGAAACGCACGAGTGGATTCTGAGTTTGGAGTTTTTGGTCAGAATATGCAACAATGGAGTTTTGTTATGCAGTTCTGAGTTTGGGAGAGTTTTAGGGCTTGTGCATTCGTGTCTTTTCTCACAAATAACTTGTATAGTTATAAGAAAAATGTTAGAGGACTTGAGGTTGACAAATATGTGGGATATAGGGTTATGACTATGTTACTTGATTTTGAAGAAAAGTGAAAAACATGGTTTCAAGGCATAGTACAAGCATGGTCTGAGTTTATGGGAAGCTTTAGACATATTTCTTTTATCTTTGACATTTCTTGTACTCATATGAAACAAGTTGGGAGCTCTATGCATTGACTTTTGCAATAAAGCTTGCTTTTCCAAAACGGAAGTGTTACCTTTATGCCATTAATGGAATAACCATTTAGACAATGCCTCAAATGCTTGGATCAAAGCTCTAACAGTTATGTAAACATTTAATTATATAGTGAAAGGCAAGTTAGAAGCCTGCAAGGTGGGATTTGTACAACATGCTTGAAGATTGGATCAAGTGTTCTTCACAAATTTGCCTTGCAAAATAAGAATGAAACCTCATGGCTTCGATTCTCTTAGCACAAACATGATCTAAATGAGTTCTTGGATACTTTAGAAAGCTTGTAACATCCCTTATAACCTTTATGTTGGACTTTTTTAAAATTCAATTTGGAACTAGGTGAAAAATTGCCATGAAGTTATGTCAAAATCCTGCCTAACTAGGGCAAATTTTCACTAAGTCTTTTTAGTTCATGAGCATGTCTTCACAAATTCATAACTTGAAATTCAAGCATTTCTAGAAAAAGTTCTGCCCTAAAATGTTTATATCTCATTGAGATCTACAACTTTTATGTTAGAATTTTCTCTTTAATCACCTTACATCATGGTGGAAATTTGGCACAAAGTTATGGAAAAAAAATGAACTTTCTAACACTTAGAAAAATTTCTAAGTCTTAGAATTTTGACTTTTCAAAGATAATTTTGAATTTTGAATTTCTTGATGAACAAAATTCATATTTTGACATGTATTGATGAATTGTAGTCTTTGAAACTTGATTTTGATCAAAAAGTCAAAGTTTGACTTTTCAGTGTACAGTTGACTTTTCATCAATTGACTGAAATTCAATTATCAATCAATTGATCTTGATAAATTTTTTGAGCCATGCCATTAAGTCAAAATGATGTATTTTCATCCTTGAGATCATATCTTGAACCAATAAGTCAATTGTTAGGTCAAAAGTCAAGAATTGAACCTCTTCAGTCAAAACCCTAATTTTGACCATTTTGCCCTTTTGATGTTCTGATCAAATTTCTTAAGGAATTGTGATCCAAACTTAATCAATTGACATATATGAGTTCATAATGTTGATACGGATAAAAAATTATGAAGTTTGACTTCAAATTGACCACAGTTGACTTTTTCTCCAATATAGATGATTTTAGGTCAACTGATCAATTGGCTGAGCAAAAATGTGATTCAGGACTTGAAACTTGACATGAGAAATCTTGAGGGTCCAAAATGATTCATGAAAGTCAATTGAGGCTTAGAAAGTTCAATTATCATTGTACAAACTCAAACCCTAATTTGAGTCATCAGTGCTTGAGGAGGTGTCTTGAGCAGATCAAACTTTGTGTAGTCTTGAATCAATGGAGATCTTATGAGAGATTTCTTGAGAAATGAGAGAGAAAATTTTGGGGTACAACACTAATGAATTTATTAAAAGTTCAAAAAGTTGTATATAAGGGAATTTTGCAATGTATAATCGATTAGCCCTTAGGCATAATAAATTATTCCTTTTTGTAATACCTCATAAACAACTATTAAGGTTATTAATCGATTAACAACGACTATTTTGAAAACATTCTATTTTTGGACTAGATAATCTATTATGTGGTTGGCCTAATCGATTATCAATATTAAAAAGTTTCATGGATCTTTTTCTTTTAACGACAAATTTTGTCCTATAAATAAAGGCTTATCCTTTTCTTCTCAACACACCAGAAATCATATTTAAAATACCTTTCTCTCATTATCATATTTATCTTTTTATTTTCTCCCACTTGCCTTATTGATTTGAAAGTGAACTCTTTATATATATGAGGTATTTTGGTGTAAGAGAATTTTTTAAATTCTCATTGGGAGAAATTTTGTTTTGGTTGTGAGATAAACCAAGTGAAAAAAAATCTTTTTTGGTTGTTGAGGTAAACTAGTTAAATTCTCCATGACGAAGTAATTAAGTTTTTTAGTACCTATGGGAGAAATGTCTCATTCCTATAATTATTAGGAAAATGATTGAGGCACGACATAGTAAACGAAAAAGAAGACAAGTTACGTCGACTATGGGAAGCCCGAGCAAAATTTCATGGAATAGTATGAAAGTCAAGGCTGATATGCAAAACTAAAATATAACACATGAAAGAGAATCGTGGTCCACATCACATTCTGGGACGAGAAGGGGCAATCAGAGATCGATAGAAACTAGATAATTCTGAGCTTTAAAAGAAAAAAGCAGACAATAACACTACAAAATCGCAAACCTTACCTCGACCACACTAGAGTAGGCTTGGAGGGAAAATGCTCCTACCCAGTCTCGACCTCAAAACTGGCCCAACGAGAAAAGGTCCAATATGATAAATTCCAAAGATAAAGATATTTATGACATAAGTGACAACAAGACAATGATGACAAAAGAAAAAATATCTATTTCGATATTAGTTTGCTGACATAGACCTACCGTAAAAGTACTAGATCCAGACAAGAAACCAAAGTAGGTCTGTCAGATAATAAAACAAATTATATACTAACATCTGTCAGCTTGGAAGATGTTAGCTTGGATAATTATGATTGAAGCTAATGGATGAGAGCCTTCATAAAACCCTTATAAGATCCATATATAAAAGATCATAAACGCCAAATCAAAGCACACACAAAGTTCCTTAAAACTTTATTTATGCCTTTCATTTCTGACGATATCTGACTTGAACGTTATAATGTTTGCAAGTATCATCCCCCACAAAATCAATCAAGCAATCAAGATGAGACATATCCTAAAACCCGAAACTGCCATAATCTAACTATATTTTCCTCTGAAAAGAAATGTCCCTACTTAAAGAAACAACCACCAAAACCTTCATTGTATCTATATTATAAGGGCCATTTCGAATGACCCCAATACTTTTCCGATCTCTGTAAAAATAATCATCTGCAACTTTGTAGAGACATTGAATTTTAATAATCTAACCATTAGTGATCAAATACAATCTTTTATAAATTTAAAATTATATAATCTAATCATTCATATTTATTTATGTTTTTTAAACATTTATTATACATTAAATTATTAATATATAATTAAAAAAATTAAAGAAATTGAACATTTAACTCGATGTTTAAGGGAATCTATAAATCTAAATATGAAATTAAAAAAAAAAAACCCTACATTTTAGAAAGTAATAAGTAAAAATTTAGACAAGTAGGGTCACATGTTTGCATGCAGTGAACAAAAGAACAAAGCTTGTAAACAAAACAAAAACAAAAAAAGAAGAAAAAGAACAAAGGTTGTAATAATAAGCAGAGAAAAATTGGTTCCCACACAAAATATAGCATCTTGTATTTTAGAAAGTGGCACGAAACAAAATGACTAAAAAGACAATTGTTCGTTCCTTGGACCTATTGTTATGTTTTTTCTTTCCCTCCATCACGGTGCTTTGTTGTTTAACGTACACATATATTAGGAAGGAGGAACAAGACCCGCTCTAAATCCATTTTCAATTTTCTTCCTTACCACCCTAATATTTCTCATCACATTCCATTTCGAGAAGACAGAGAAACTACATCACACAAAACATTACTTTTCTTCCATTTTTCACGCTTCCAATGCTCTTCCTTTCTTTCTTTCTTCCATCCTTTCTCTCTCTTCATTCTTTTCTTTGATCCATTTTCTTCACCAGGTATGTATGTCACTATCCAATGCTTTCATTGTTTTTTCTTTTTAGGTTTATGTATTTCCGTTGATCATGCATTGTGCTACATTGTTGTTTTGATGAATATGGTGATGCAGGATTGGTCAATTGATCAATGCTGTTTTGGTTTCTTCTGGTGAATTGTTTCAGATAGTTCTGTGATTTTTGGATCACAGATATGACCAATACAAGTGCTGAATTGTCTCAGGTTTTTAATTATTCACTTACTTTTTTCATCTTGTTATGTTATGTGATATATGAAATGTATCACTGATGCTTCGAATTGAAGGCGTGTCTCCTATCTGACACGTATCGATTTCATTTAATAATTCCGTCTATTTTACAGGGAAATAATGGCGGTGCTTCTATTCCTCCTCCTAGTCCCCAGTCTGGACCTCCAGAGCACCAGCCTTCTCGTGGTTCCTGCAACAATGCGGTATAATTCTTTTTCTTTGTTTCCCAATATGGGAGTTTAAGTTAATTTGGACCAATGTAGCATTATCATGATCAATTCCTAATAAAAAAGTCTTCAATTTAAATGTAGCTAGCTTCAATTTAATATAGTTTCCATGTCTCTCTTATTCATGTAACTCTACGTCTTGCAGATTTTCAAGAGTGGGCCGCTTTTCATATCTTCCAAAGGTGTGTTTCGCTCCATCACTTCACGTGTTTTCCTCGAAGAAACTATATATTATTTACATAATTCAAAATGAAAGAGGAGTAAGTGTAGATATAGTGTTTTTTCTATGCATTTCAATGATATGTAAGACAATGGATGTGAATGTAACCAACGAACCTAACAGAATTTAATTAACTATGGTTTTCTTTCCCCATTTGTAGAATAAATCACTCTGTTCTCCCATGTTATTATTATTGAATTGTATCTATTTCTTGATGTGTAGGAATTGGATGGACATCCTGGAAGAAAAGGTGGTTTATTTTAACACAAACTTCACTTGTTTTCTTCAGAAGTGATCCGGTAAGTAATTTTGTTTTGGCTTCTGATCGAAAGTAGACATAACCTTACATCAGTCTGGACTAGATTTTTTTTCGTAGCGTTATAATTATATCTAATAATGAACTCAACATTAGCATTTTTGACAGAAAGAGTTGGCATAACCTTAGAAACACTTACCTATAACTCTAATGTGTTTACTTGTTTCATCCGATGTAAAAAGTAGGAACTTGTTATCATACATTCTTATCATTTTGTTTAATGTTTTTCAGAATGCCGTCCCTCTAAAGGGAAATGAAGTGAATTTGACCCTGGGAGGCATTGACCTCAACAATTCAGGCAGGTTGGCTTGTTTTCTCCCAACTACTTTACATTATTATCATTCACAAGATCAAGACGTTTCATTACCTATTATGACATGCGTTGTTGAATTTTGTAGCGTCATTGTTAAAGCAGATAAGAAACTTTTGACTGTACAATTTCCCGATGGTCATGATGGACGAGCATTCACACTCAAGGTGCTTAAATCCAATCCTTTTACGTAATACATCTCTCAATTTAAAGATAAATATATAGACACATAATGGAGAGCGTGAAAATTGTTATTTGCTGCTAACGTATCATTTTAACTGTTTATATAATAGGCTGAAACTACGGACGACTTGTACGAGTGGAAGATTGCACTCGAGAAAGCTTTGGCACAAGCACCAAGTGCTGCCAATGCGTCGGAGCAAAATGGTATCTTTAGGAATGATCAGACTGATCCAATTGATATTTCTTTGGACCAGTGTATGCTCTTGTTATAATTGTGCTTTACATATGTCACTTGACATCACAGTTTGGACCTAGTGGTGCATAGACTGTAAATGTCGTTCACCGTCAATATACATTACTTCACCTAACAACTTAAATATCCGCATGCAAATTGTCGCTTTTCTGATTTGATCTTTGCATCTTGTCCATTTGTATAATAGCACTTGAGAGTGGTAATGTTATGAATTTATACCATCTGATTGAATGTCTCTTCTGTAGATATGTGACAAACCAGTTTTTTTTCTTCCCCTGATTATGACATTTGCAAAATACGTTTGTTGTGTGTGAACTTTGATGCAATTATACATGTATATAATGTTGTAAAAGTCAACGAACTTTCTTTCATTTGATATGATTTCTACAGTGAAGGATAGAGAACCAGCCAAATCTACGGTAATTGGCAGACCGATTTTACTTGCATTGGAGGATGCTGATGGAACTCCATCGTTTTTGGAGAAAGCGCTGAAATTCATGGAAGAGCATGGTGGATTTTCTTACACATGCACATCTAGTTTATGTGTTTCACATGGAATAGAAATCTAATTTGATAAATATTATAAAATAGGAGCTAGTGTAGAAGGGATCTTGCGTCAAGCAGCTGATGTTGATGATGTTGAACGTCGTGTTCGGGAATATGAACAAGGTTTGTATTTCTGTTCCTGGCTCGTCTCAACTTTCATTTAGTGGAGTTTCCTTAAATGTTTGAAGATTGTGAAGTTTTGTAGCTTTCAAAGTGCACTTTCTTCTTTCTTTTTTTTTTTTTTTAATCAAAGTTACTCGGTAAGTTTTCATGTTCTTGAACACGCGATATTGTTGCAGGAAAAACTGAGTTTGCTCCAGATGAAGATGCACATGTCATTGGCGATTGTATTAAGGTATACTCGTGATAAACGAGAGTGCTGTTTTCTTCAGGCGGCTCGTACATTATAATAACTTCCTATTTCTACAAATTTGTAGCATGTTATTCGGGGATTGCCATCTTCTCCGGTCCCTGCATCTTGCTGTAAGGCACTGTTAGAAGCTTGCCGTAAGTTTCATTTTAATGTTTCCATATTAATCTAATTTAATAGAAATCTAGGACCATACTATACAACCAAGTACTTATGTCTTTAAATTTAAATTCATTTTCCATGATTGTTGTCAAATGAAAAGGCTTTCAAATTTTCTATCTATATTCTTGAAGTTTAACTCTCCATTGTTGAAAATTGGCACAACTGTTAGGAACTGAACGTGGTGTTAGAGTTGCTTCTATGCGCGCAGCAATAAATGACACTTTCCCTGAACCAAATCGCCGCCTATTACAAAGGTGTTTGAGTAATAATTTTCTCTTTTCCATTTCTTTCCTTTTGGGATTACTTATTGATTGCCATCTTTGTTACATTACTCAAATCAGATTTTATGGCCATTACTCAATTCAGGTTTTAATGGCCATCTATATTAATGATCTCATTCTTCTCCAGAATACTGCTGATGATGCAAACTGTGGCTTCACAAAAAGCTGTAAACAGAATGAGTTCCTCAGCTGTGGCAGCTTGCATGGCACCATTACTTCTTCGTCCCCTTCTAGCCGGAGAGTGTGAGATCGACAACGATTTTGATGTAGGTGGTGATGGTTCTGTTCAACTTCTACAAGCAGCTGCTGCTGCTAACCATGCCCAAGCAATTGTTATAACCTTATTAGAAGAATATACCAGCATATTCGGGGTAACTATCTCTTACAATGTTACACTTTGCATGGTTTCCATTCATATGCATGCATCTGTTAGGATCTTGCATGCATCTGAATGAGATTATTTTCAGAATCCTAACTTGTTAGTGTTGTAGCAGGAAGCTTCCGTGTCCCCTGATATATACACCGACTCAGAAGAGAGTGGATCTGAGAGTGAGGAAGGTACTGATGATGATCTATCCTATGATGATGATGATGATGATGATGATGATTATGATGATGATGAATCAATGCAAGAATCTGATGAAGAAGATCTTGTCAGCGAATCCTACACTGAAACTGGAGATTCTGAGGCTGACGATTACGATGACAAGGTTAATACTAGATATATTTATTTCATGTCAATTATGAGTAATTATGAGAATGAAAGGAGAGGGGAAGAGTAAACTATCCAATTCTAAATTTTTGTAATGGTCAGGATCATGATCACTCTCATTCAAGTTCAAAATCCTCAGATGCGAGTGATGATGCTAAAGTCAATCAAATGAAAACAAAGTCACGTGAAGGCTCACCGACTGAACATGAAAATGCCAGAAGTATTGAAAATCTCACGAGTCCAAAGAATGCAGCTAATGCAGATAAAACCAATAAGCCTGTTGAAACTTCCACTGATGTAGCCGGTATGCATAATTCATATTCTCCTAGCCAATCACATATGCAAAAATCTGCAACCATGTCCAATGGCCCAGCACCGCGGCACCGAAACATGTTGGGGCGAACCTCTGTGAGTAAATCTTTCTTACTTTTCTTTGAGAGCTTAATTGACTATATACTAAAAAGTTTGGAGTTTTATGTCTTTCGTATGTTGTCTAGGCAAGGAAGAACTTATCTATGGAATCCATTGACTTTCCTCTTGAAGAGGAGTAAGTAATTGACATCTGTGTACAATGCTGATATGAGTTTCTTCATGTTTCTCTGTCCACTAATTTTATGTTTAACCATAGTGATGAAATTGAAAAGCTCGAAGCTGCTAAGACAGAACTACAAAGCCAAATTGCAGACGAGGTATCTACTGATTTCCATGAATAACTTTGTTTATGTGTTGGAATTATTTTCTTGGAAGACAATAGATAGTTTTACTTTCTGTTGTAGGTGAAGGAAAATGAAAAGCTGCAATCAAAGATAGACGAACGAAAGAAAGACTTGCAAGAGCGGCGTTTGGCACTTGAGCAAGATGTATGTTCATTATGAAACGACTTATTCCCTCTTTCTCCATATAAATAAACTTAAAGATTCTATCACTAAGATTTTCTTTTCACAGGTGGCTAAACTACAAGAACAGTTACACAAGGAGAAGAGTTCTCGGGCAACTCTTGAGGTAGGACTCGAGTTTTTTCTGATTTAGCTAATATCGACAAGGGTGAGGAGTGTCGTCAAATTCAGTCAAATGTGGTTAATACTTAATAATGTGTCTTGATCATTCAACTAATTCACAATCTCTACATCGTATACAGACCAGGATAGAACTTCAGGAATTAGCTTTGGTAGAAGTGGATCTTTCCAACTTAGAGCGGATGGTTGAGGAGCTTGGGCAGCGGCTTAATGTTAAAGTCGAGCGTAAGTATCGATCTACTTCAAATGTCAGGAAGACATCCCGGCAGTTATCAAATCAAGAAAGAAAAATGTATGTTTATTGTATCAGTTTTCATGATTTTTTATTGCTTTGTTTCATCCTGTATCTTCGCACTTGCCCATTTGGAATTTTTACCGTTTCTATTAACTTTTTCGGTGTCTTTTATTTCGCCAGTTTCTTTCTATGGTAATTAAATTTGACTCTTCACGGGGAATCTTTATGACAGGAAACATAAGGGAGATTCTGAAGTTGCTGGGACATCACATTATGAAAGGTCACTAAGTAAGGTAAATCTTATAAGGATTTGTTCCTTAGTGTCAATGTTGTAAGAATCCTATAAAACTTGTTTCCTCCGAAGTTTATTTCTGCAGTTTATACTCAGCCGATAGAAAACAAATATCGTAATTTCTCAAGCATTGCGTGGTTAAAATCCAAAGGTTAATAGTAATATGTCATCTAACTTTTTTTAAACAATGGATATTTGGCAATGTCACGACAGGACTCTTATCTTAGTGGAGGAGAAAGTGATTCTGAGAGAAAGCCAGAGTCGACACCTTTACAAAACAAACAGCCACCAACTTCCAAGAGAACTAGTTCAAGGGGTGAGGTAGGCATCATCATAAACTTGGCCATGAATCTACATAAAAATCAGAACCTTGTTGCATAAGTTTTACTTTTATAATATTGCTTAGTAATGGGATGAAGGAATCAAATTACTATGCAAGGTTCAATAAGAGAAATCTGATAAGTCATAATGCAACTTAATAGGACTAGTGGAGTAGATAGACTTATTTATTTAAATGCTTTCACAACAGGGAGCAAATACTTCTGCACTCACAAAACTGACATCCAGGCTGAACTTTTTGAAGGTGGGCCGTAGTCAAGCTGTAAATGAACTTCAAAACGCGGATAGAGGCCGAGACTCGAGTCACTCTTCGCGCAATCAAGATAAAGGAAAAGGATCCGAACGTCACCAAACACTTCCTTCCCCGAGACCGAACCCAGAAAAAGGTAAAGTCATGGACAATTCCAAGTCACTCACAGAAAAAAGATCGAGCAAAGGTAAATCACATCAAAGTTCAGAGAAACTAAGAAAGTCAGATAGTCAGCCAGGCTACCACTCAGAAGGATGGGATCAACATCCAACTTACTTAGAAAGAGGAAGGTCCGAAGGGCATCATCAGTCTTTTAACGTGGATAAAGGTCGATGATTACTACGTCTGGTTTTTGTTACACACGAAATCGAGATGATGCGGAGCTATTATAAGCAGTTGTTGTTTTGCCATTATTTATGTCTTCAACAATGTTTTGTGAGAAGAATCTTTCTTTTCTAAGGTTGGCACAAGAGCCTATATTCAAATGAGAGCGCGGTGAAGTCCATTTACCCCCGAAAAACAGGATGTGCAAGGATTTACATAAACTGAAATATTTTGTAGCCTAACATGCTGGATTTTACTGACTCAGTGAACAGCATGATGATTTTCCAATTACATTATTTAATTTGTAACTACAATAGCGTTCTGTAGTTTGGCATAAGCTGGCAAAGCATTATTAGGCTGATAACCCCTTGTCCAAGTTTCTTTGTTCTGACAATTTTTGAGTAAGTAGTCTCATTGTGTTTTCATATAATCAGTTAAAACACCATGACTTACACACAAATACAAAAATGCCAGTTAGTTAATTGGTTATAAAAGAAGAAAAAAATTGAACTGTGTATAATAGGTATGTGTACAATGTCTGTTAACAATCTCACTGATGCCAATTAGAGTTTGTTTTGTGAAGTTTTATTTTATAACAAAAATGTCTAGATGAATACGATTCACAAGTCAGAACAGGGTCAGGAAGATTCAATTCCGCCCACTATATAAATATCACCATTCACTATTATAGTTAAATTATATAGTGATCCTGTTGAATAAATATTGTTGGTAGCACTCTTTTCTCTTGCAAGGGCAAGAGTTTTTAATAAGGCACCTTCAATTCATCTTCATGCGTGTGTTATTATTGTTAAGTTTTACATGGAAGAAGCCGAGTTCATTCTAGGAGTGAAAAGCAAACTCATAATTGCCAAGTTCCGCCAAATATTACACAGGTAGTTAGAGAGTTGTCCTGGTCATCAGTTATGCTCATTAAGTCTTTAACCTTCATAATCCGGAAGGTATTTAGAACAACTAATGCTTGGGCTTCCAAGGCATCTAGCATGTAATAATTGAAGCTGCACATCTAACACTCAAATTTATCCGCGTAATTTATAAATAAAATATCAGAATAAATTAAAACAATTAAACAATTAGGACGTTACATTCAATTTCAACCATCTCATACAATACGATCTCAACCACATATGGAATTTAAAAAATAATAGTAATCATGATGCAAGTTGGAACTCCAATATTTTTATTAGCAGTGGAAAAATATAATCAAACTGAATAATTTTAAATTCATAAACATGAATTATAACAAAATGTAATCATAAAGAATTATCAAACATCGGAGGCTCACATAATAGTCTCCTCCCAACATAAAATAAAGAACAATTATCTCCCCAATGTTAATTATCAGAGCAGACGTGAACTCAACAAAAGCGTAAAGAAGAGTAATCTCTTCCACTCACTTTCACGCCTCTACTACAGATTATCTACACGATACTCATGAAAAGGCAACATTCAAACAGAAAAAGTGAGTAATCATAATCAATTATAAACAACATAATAAAAGATAAATTGTGAATTATCTATAATTAGAACCAAAGTTTCAACAACATGGATGCATGATTTATAACATGCAACAACAACATCGTCAACATCAACACCATAACAACAACATCAAACTTCATCATCACAACAAGGGAAAATAACATAACATTATCACAACGATATAATAGTTCATTAACAGAACATATAAACAATCAAATTCAAAAACATAAAATACATAAAAATAATACTCAAACAATTCATTTATCTCTATCACGTTATAGCTCTATGTGTTAGCTTCCTAGCGTTTCAAACGACACTCAATTTAGACTTACAGATCAAAAGTTACAACCATTATGTCATCACTAGCTACATGCTCGCTACTACTCACTCATCGAACTTTCACTACTTCTCGCTAACTTTCACTTAGCGAACTCATCACAGAAAGTAAACCAGAAACTTCCGCTACAGTTTGCTCAACAACTCTCTTGGGACAACAAACAAAAAAAATACAATTTTCGCAATTGGAGGCCTTCCAGACCCTTGAATTCGATTACGTAAAAAGTCTCAGTCTCAATTCAAAAAACTACAATTATGTAACAACTATAACAATATACAACACCTATTTATAGGTTCTAACATCATACATACATCATGCAACCATCGATTTCATGTATATGACTCAAACCTTCTTAACTCAACAATAACAATAGAGGGAACTTATAAACAACCAAATGCAGAACTGTCACATATATAAGCAACAAAATTCATCATATAACAACAACATCATCGTCAATTATTTAATAACATTCATTATCAATCCAAAAAGGGTGAACTAAATTCCTATTCTACCATTCCCTCATATCTTTCATAATTGAGAACCATTACCCACCTTTACCTTGGATGATGAGTTTTGAAACTTCTCTAATGGAGGTTATTCTTCTCCTATGCCCTAGCTCTCTTTTCTCTTTCTCTTCCTTTCTCCTCAATTTCACGTTCTTACAGTTCTCTCTTCCTATTCCATTCTTTTTTTATATTATTATATTATAATTTCTAATTAAAATTATTCCAACTAAATAAAATAAATATTATTCCCACTAAATATTTATTTAAATAATATTCCTCTAATACTATTTAAATAATTAAAATAATAATAATAAACTAATAGTAATTAATTCCACTTCTACCACCCCAAATCTCTACATTTTTACTCAAACACCCCAAATACCTTAAATCCTACATTTATAAGGCTACCACCCTACACCTAAGGATTTCTCTAACACAACAAATCATCAACAAACACATATCATCACACAATTTATTTATGAAAATTAATTAAATAAATCGGGGTGTTACAGTACACCGGTAACAGGTTGTCCGTCCAATAAGTTGAGAAGCAATGGCTCTCGTCTATAACATACATAACCTGGGGGCATCTGTTCCCACTTTTTACCTGAAGAAACTTATCCTTGAAACCTTTATAATTTGTGGTGTAGGCTTGGAGAAAGCTCCTGAGGATTCCATTGAGGGAAACTCAACCACCTTTGTCTGAGCCTTTTAACTCAAAGAAAGAAAAGAACAACCCTAGTGTAAGGATTATGTTCATCGCCTCACAAACGATTGCATGGGCTTTAATAAAAACCAAACATTTAGACATAGTTGAGAAGGGGAAATATTTAGGGTTTTAAGGAAATCAACTTCGAAGTCGAAAATGGGGATGCAAATCTCGAAATCCTCAATCACCTCATAATAGAAGTAAAAATACTCATCAGTCACACCTCTTGGTCGATAAATACAAAATCTCTCTCCATCCACGTAGGGCTTTAGTACAACATCTTTTTCATTTTCCATAGAAGAAATGTCCATGTTAGACTGGAGCTTAGAAATGTCACTAGCATAAATCATAGTATGGTCATAACTTAAAAACTCTGGATCAATATAGGATCCGTGAAAGAACAAGATTAGTTCTGACCTATCCCAAGTGTTTTGATGATAACAAAATTATATTTAAGATAATTTATACTCTAATGAATGTGTTTTGAATGTCTTAGTTAATGTTCTGACAAGAAACATTCCAAAGTACTAAGCAAAGATTATGAAGAAGTTCTTTGATAAAAGAACTTTTTATTCAAACGCATCTGCTGACTCTGGTAAGAACCTTTATTTTTTAAATGTATCTTCTAACTTCTAGCAGGCTTCTCGATTCTGAAGATAACTTGAAAGAAAGCGTTGTTCAAAGTTCTTAGCAAGCAACGCTCTGACCAGAAGTTGAATGAAGCATGTTCTGAGTTAAAGCAAATACTGAAGCAACGTCTTAATCAACGTGTCTTGTCAAAACAAAGGAAACACGTTCTTACATTCTAATGTTTGCTAATTAATGCAAAGACGGCTGAAAGCACTCAAGTGCCTACAACTAGTTTCTTGGAGAATGGAATTTTGCAAGGATACACGCAAAGAATTTAATGCTCTCCATTTCCTCTGAAGGCAGCAACGGTCTTATTATTCCTACTATAAGTAGAAGGACATTTATTGCAAGCCTAGAAGAACGTTCAAACAAGAAACTACGTGAAAGATTCAAAAGCTAACAAACTCATAGTTCATACATTTTGTGTATTATATTCTAAGTGAAAAATCACAGTTGTGATATAGCTTGATTAGAAGAAAACTCTATTTCAATTATTTGTAAAGATTATACTTCTGTATTTGATCCTTGAGAGACCAAGTTTGGTCAGATTTCTCAAGAAGACTAGGACTAGATTTAAGTCTTAGTGTTGTTAGTCACTTGTAAGATTACTTGTGCATTGTTAGTCACAACAGTTGTTGTGTGATTGTAATCAGTTGATTATAGTGGATTAAGTCCTTGTTGAGAAAGGCGAAATCACCTTGGCGGGTGGACTGAAGTAGTTTGAGTTCAAATGAACCAGGATAAAAATAACTGTGTTTTTCCATTATTGTTTGAGCTTTGTTTTGAAAACGAAAAGAGTCACTTATTCAACCCCCCATTCTAAGTGTTTTCTTACCCCTTCAATTGGTATCAGAACTTGACTCTGAGCTCAACACTTAACCGTGTCAGGAAAAGATCCAGAAGAAAACACAATCGCCGCTGAACAAAACAATAATAGTTATAACAAACCTCCAGTGTTTGATGGAGAAGATTTTGAGTACTGGAAAGATAGACTAGAAAGTTTCTTTCTAGGTCATGATAGTGATCTTTGGGATATAGTCTTGGATGGTTACAAACATCTTACAAATTCTGAAGGAAACAAAGTGGATAGAAAAAATATGGATAGACAACAAAAAGTTGATTTTAAAAATCATCACAGAGCTAGAAATATTTTTTTAAATGCTATCTCTAAAGTTGAATATGAAAAAATCACTAATAGAGATACAACGCATGATATGTTTGAATCTCTCAAAATGACTCATGAAGGAAACACTCAAGTTAAGGAGTCTAAAGCTCTGGCTTTAGTTCAGAAGTATGAAGCCTTCAAAGTTGAAGAGAGTGAGTCTATAGAAGC